CACGTTTATGACCTTGATCAACGTGGCAGGTGCGGACATGAATTATTCAACGATCCCCCTTTTTTCGGGATCCCTTCCTGACCATGCGACACAAATAAGAAAAGTTCTAAGAAAAGTAGGCGTTAGTTTACCGAGGGAGGAGAAAAATATTATTTTTTTTTAAATCTTTTTTTATATGTGTTTCGGGGCGATCTTTTCTTCATCACGCCCATGCTCGGTACCAGAATTAATGCGATTTCTTTTCATTCTGTATTAACATGTAAATGTCGTTTCTTGGTATCTTCACAGTCGACGATTCCGTTTGTTAATTAGAGTGTCGTCAATTATCATATTCCCGGCGATAATTACTCTTCCGCGCTCTTTCCGCTCGTTGACGATTTTATGATGAATTTCTGCTTGGCCATGTCTCCATGTCGCCCTATTTGATGCTGATGTACTAGCCGAATCCCGCGATGACATCTTAAATCATCGGTTTAGCTTGTTTCTCCCCGAAAATCTGCGTTTTGTTTTATCGATCACGTCAAATCATGTGGTGTTTATTGTAGCGGAAGTTACTCTTGCCGAAAAAAAAGGCGCTTCGGCTTCGATAACCTTGTTCTATCTTAATTAGTTCTCCAGTTCGGTAGCAAACACAAAGAAGGTTAAAGAGTAGAAAAAATTCGTTAATAACGTGATTTCGAATTGACAATTTGTCGAATGATGTAAGTTCCGTATTAGGGTAGATTATATCCTATTTTTTAAAAATTTTCCTTTAACTGACTACACGAAATTTAATATTTATTTTTTACTTATTTCCACGAATATTAACAAAACTAAAAGTAATTTAATTCAAATATTGATATTCTAATTTTTCATATCATCAAGTATTTGAATATGTATGACGTATGCTTTCTTAATTTTAAATTATTAATTATTAGTTGAATTTAAATATATTTCTTATTAGAATAACAAATTAGTGTGTATTAATAAGTTTAATAACTTTATAAAATAAAAGAAGTATGTAATGTCGTATAAATTTTTAAATAACAAATGAATTATAATATGATTGTCGATATTCGAAAGGAAATATTTTCGTTAAAATAAATTATTATGATAATTTAATAACATAAAGCTTTTAATTATTAAAAGTATACAACTTTTAATATTTTTTAATTAATTATTATTATTTTTTTCTTTTTACACAAAAGAATTCGGTGTCAGGTGAAGACGTGTGAGTTTTATTCGCATCCATATTTTTTATTCAGGCGCCATTTTCAATTAGATTTTAATAGATGTGACGTGTTTATTATATTTTCGACCAATTAAAATCTATATTTTCGTCATTTTTACTGTTTAAATTTTGCGAAATCGATCGGGGAATTCGAAATCAAATTTTGTAAACACGAGTAGAAAGAGCGCTTGCATGTGAAATATGCCATGTGTTCCGTAACGAGATGTCTCGTTGATNTAAATATTAAAAATGTGACGTCATTAGGGCGTAAGACGATAATTTTGTTTAAGCGAACACACACGAATTACTTTTTAAAAATTAAATATTAAAATAAAACAGATGTAACGTAAAGACATTAAATAAATTTGTGACGTCAAAATATATATATATATATATCGGCTAACCATTCCTTCCTATCAATTTTTATTATAATAAATACAATCTAAAAATTTTGTTTTGTTTTTTTTAATATATATGCCTATATATATATAATAAAAATAACGTAATCGCAAATTACATATCTAAATCCGGTATTAGCATTAAAATATCATATCATTTAATTATGGCATGTTGGAATTACTTTATCGTCATAGCCGAGTTGATAAGGATCGCGCGACCCCTCCCAATTAAAGCGACGTCATCGGAGGAGGGGGGAGATGGCGGCAATGACGTAGAAAAACAAAGCATCAATCAGTTTTTAAAAGTCACAGACCATATATAAATATAGCGTACGGTATTCTCGAAGAATACAAAAGAAGTATTTTTTCGTGTCAGACTAGAAATGATAACGCAGTGTTGATAGTGAATCAAATATTGATTGGGCGAGAGGAAAGACGAGAGGAAATAAATTCCTCTTTCCTTTCACGTACAACTTCTCATTCCCTCCCCTACTTTTTCTTCTTCTTTTTTTTTCTCTCTTTTCTTAGCTTTCTTCTCCCCATAAGAATCGTTTTAAGTACACTCGCCATATAACAGTTGTCTACGGTATTTCTGATAAATCGAATAAATGAAAATACAAGAGCAAGTATACATTAAATTATATTCTTTTTTATGTCAGATTGAATGCGATGCTTACATCAATCGAATTTACTTTCCACTTTTTATTATTATTATTTATTTATTTTTTAATCGCTATTTCTCTCGCATTTTATTCTAAGTAAATACTTCGATTGGTTGATTGGTGTCAGGTGATTGACCTATGACGAAATTTATGTATCCGAGACGTGATTTGTTGAAATTTTAAAAATTTGAATTTAGCTAGAAGGTAATTGGATAAAAATCATTCTTGCTCTTATTTCTATGCAAAACATTATTTGAGTATAGCGGTCGATTTTTGAAACTTATTTTTCCAATGTAAACATGTCAAGACTGTCTTATTAACTTGGTAATTTATTTTATTATTATTTTTTAATGTTTTTTTTCTTTCTTTTACTAAAAATTCGATTTATATGCGAATTTTTATTTGGATTACCTAGGTAACGAGATAAATGAATTTTATTTATCTGCATGCCGAATAAGAGGAAACAAATTTTATTATACCTGAAAAATAATAATGTATATTTATTCTAAGTACTCCCTTTTAGGCGAAATAAAACGTAATGTATAGAAATCGTCTTTACAATCAAATTTGATAATTATGTAATATACCATTAGATGGCGCTATATAGCGCCATCTAATAGCTACATATATNTTTAGAATTATTATAAAATAATTAATTTAATTTAAAATTTGATCTATATATTTTATAAAATTCGTTAATTTATTTGCAAAAATATATAAATGAAATGGCCAAAGACAATGTAAATATACATACAAAAAATATTTTAATTTGTTTTCTTTTATTATTTTAATAAAATCTGACAAAGTTTATAATATTCATAGAAATATTTTAATATCTCCATTCCTTAAGAAATTTTTTTAATCTTTACGCGAACATTTGTACTATTAATGAGTCAAATTTATCAGTCACAGTTTAAAAAAAAAAAAATAATAATAATAAGAACCATTTGTTTAAAAGTTATGAATGTTTCTCCATGATTAAATTCCATATTCCAATTCTCAAGACGGAATGCAAATTTTAAATATGAAAATATTTGCATAATTTTTTTTTTCCTAAATCGAAAAATCTGTTATATACTCACTTACCCGCTTCTTTATCTCTTAAAAGACATAAAAAAAAAATAAAAAATAAAAAAATTATTAACATGCGAATAACAGATATTTTTATTGCTGTAATGTTATTAAGTCGTTATTGACTAACTTTCTTCACAATGAAGATAAAGGAAGAATCAATAATGGTTTTCCTTCCTCTCTGTGTTTCCCAATAATAAAATCGTTGGTGCAGACACAGAAGGAAGTTCTTATTCCCAACCGACTATATATCTTAATATATATATATCTTTCTATATTTGATTATTAAATAAATATTCATGTTTGGTTTTTTTTAAAGTAAAACCAAAATTTTTTAGAACCGAATTTAAAAATAATCCCAATTTAGAAAAATAGAGAGAAAATATATTATTTTTTTAATTATTATTTGAGGTTAAATCTCTAATCGCATGCAAATTTGCATGCAAAATCTGTAAAAGATGATCGTTTTCGTCAGGGTTATTACACGATATGGATCTAGACTATTCATTTAATGAAAGTATAGCAATAAAAATGTGATAATATTAAGTAGACGTGTGATATCTTTTTTTGAGTTATTGTTGGAAAAATCGATCATGTCGTCTTCCGTTTGATCGCTTCTCGATTTTCTTGTTTGCTATCGTAACGTTACTGTAATGTTATTTACGTCTAGTATGATTCATACTACATACCAAACAATTTTTGTAGGTTACTTCCGATTAACATCTCGAGTAAGTTTATTAAAAAGGTGTAATGGTGCTAATTTAATTAATTAAATATCCGCTTTACATCTTGATTTATAAGAAAGGATGAATAAATAAATAAATAAATAATCTATAAAGCTACGAAAAGCATTGGTGAATAAAATCAATCAAAGCGAAATTCCAAGCTCTGTTAATTTTTTAAAAAACTTGGAATATTTCTAAGGAATTTATAAAATACAAAATCGTTGACCCCGTTTCTTTCATTATTGTTAAATAATGTAAAGTGACGTATGAGATGACGGCGGGTCACGTGAACGATACGTATAAATTACTCAATAATAATTATATACGTAATCGAGATCACGTGATTATTTTGCAAAACCATTTACGAATTATCGAATTATTAAATATAATAATGTGGAATTTTTATCGATTCGCTTTTATAACTTTAATGTATTATTAATAGTATACTATAATATATAATCATTATAATCACGCAGTTGTGTAAGATTAAATTGAAATAATTTTATTTGCATATTTCATAATCATAGATATTTATTTCAAATTTGTTTCGTCGTTAAACTTTATTATTAACTTATATGTTTAATCATTTAAAATATATATATATATCCGTACATATTTTTATTATCACTATTTTAATTAATTTATTTTACAAATAAATCATTGACGATTTAATTATATAAAGAAGTAAAACTATTATGTGCATTAAATATATAAACGCATTAAAATTATTGAGGCAATTCTTCGAAGTCGAAATAACGTGATATAAATGATTAATGTATTAAATTCTATAATTTTTTTTTATATTAAACGTTTCAATTTGATACGCGTTCTTATCATACTAATAAAAATATATATATATATTTATATTTAAAAAATTTAAAACAGGATAATGGGACGTACTCGTGTTTCTTAAGAAACGTGATAGGTTAAAAAATACACATATATAAGATAAGTAGTGTAATTCAATAAAGGAAAGAGAAATTTAAAATGCGCCAATAGAAAGCTAGTTAACAAAATTCAAATTATGTCATCTGATAAGAAGTGCAAAGACTGAAGGACGTCCAATAATCATCAATTTAACAGATGAACGAAATGAAATGTATGACAAATTAAATGGTGGAGAATTGTAGTAAATAACAGGTCGTGAATACGTTCGATGTAATATTTGTTTATTTTCTTAATAACTATATGCTTAAGTACGAAATCGATAAGTAAATACTAATCATCAAACACCAATGCTAATCACTCGTTACAAGTATGGAGACTTTCAATATGAGTCACGTGTTTCTCTTCTTCTTTCCTTCTCTCACGTGTTTCTCTAGAATTGCGGAAGAAACAAAATAAAAAAAAGTTTTAGTCGTAAGATGAAACTCGAGTAAAAATTTGGTACGATTATGTAAAATGCAGACTATTCTTACTTAATTTAATTATCAAACAAGTCAACAATTGAATAGAAAACATGGTCCTTATAATTAAACACATATACAACACACACACAGTACATACATATATTTATATACAATGTATGTATATGTGTAATGTTTTAACTACACTACAAAGATATGTACAAATAAATATTAATTTAAATTTTTTTAATTTTATTATTTATCTTTTATAAACGTTATTTTATAAACATTTTGAATGATTTATCTGTCTACACGCTGTATTTACTTACTTAAGAATAGATAAGAACGGCTTTCTGCAGTCGATTTCGATCAAACTTAATTTGTAATAAATTTTTTAATCTATTGAATGTCGAATTAGTAATTAATTGATGATAAGTTAAATATGTCAATAAGATGGGAGCAAAAAAATAAAGTGACAAATTGTTAAAATTGTTAGAGAAAATATAAAAAGTGTATACAATGCATATATATATATACACTTTTTCATCTATAGAAATTTAATAAGTTTTTTTAAGTGATTAATAAAATAACTTATGAGGTATGAATTAAAGTAAATATTTACAGAGCTTAATGGTGCTCTTTTAAGTTTTTTAACACTTCTGTCTACATTTGTAACAATTTTTTTGTTGACCCACTCACATTCTGTTCTTTTAATGTATTCTTCTAAGGATTTGAGATTCTTTTCACTCTATTCTTCTAATAGAGTATAAATATTTACACTCTATTAATTAATAATATAATTGTTTAATTACTATATTGAAATATTTACTAAATAAATTATTTTCTTTATGTAACATAGCTTAAGTTAATAAATTCATTATTTCAATTTATCTATTCCTTAATGTTGTTACATTGTGAAATTTCAGTTTGAATGAATTGCAAAACTAAATTTAAGCACTTTCAAATTATGTATGTGCATGAAAAAGCTATTTTTATATCACCGATTTAAGTCGAATTAAATAGTAACTTTCGATAACTTGTATTAAACTTTACTAGATTTTTATAGCATGTTCTGTATACTGTATTTAATCTTCATTGTCAAGTTTGGTTCGTGTAATACGATAGACATTAATTTTTGAGATTTCGAGTTATTTAAAATTTTTGAAGTTTCAACTAATTTATTTATTTATGTTTAAAAAGCAACATAACAGTTTAATTTATTTTGCTTATCATTTTTTTAAGCAACTGATTGATATACAAATGCAAATATTTTAGGTTTTTATCTATAAAATAATGATTAATTAAGTTTTAACATTTTGAAAGTTAAAAAAAATATTTCAGTTTTTGAAATTATGTATTTAATATTTTTATTTTAAATAAAATATCTAACGAATGCACAAAATGACAGAATATACATAAATTACAATTACGTATAAAAATTTTAATAAATATAATATGAACAGTCGATTAACCAATCATCTATTTATATATTTTATATCCATAATACTTAAATTAATTTGTTTTATTTATTTTTAATATGATCAATTTAGAAGTTTTATAATAGTTTTTTTTTTAATGCATTTATAGATTTTTGACTTTTAGAGAAAATATTATGATACTTCGATGCAATTAGTAATTTATAACTCTAGGACTTTATTCGATATCAAATTTGACATTAAATCCAATGTTTTCTTATGTAATTCTTGAATAGTTTTAAAAATTCTTTTACCGTGCTAAACAAAAATTTTTAATTAACGATAATTGATTTACTATAAAAGTACAAATATTGAAATCTGTAAATTAAAAATTAATATTTTATCTGGCATTTTAAAAATAAATCTAATCAAATATACATGATTATTGTATATGTAATATTTTTAATATTTCATTATATTTATTTAAAAACATTTGATAAAATTATTTTTTATTTACTTTGTTCCTTTATCATTTGGATATTTAAAATGAATTTACATAAATTATTTAAACAATATAAATATTGTATACATTTATAATTAATACACTATATTATTGTGTACATAAAGTTTTGATTTTCATATTATTAATAATAACACTTGTAAAGAAAAACAATTTTTTATGAAATTTATTAATTTGAGCTGGTTTATACCTAAAAATTTATATGTACAATTGACCTTCCTATAACACTGTTGATTTTTTCGTTTTATATGAATTCCATGTTGTACGAGTCACTTAAGTTTTACAAATATGTGAGCCGTTCACAGCCCGGTACATGTATTTGTAAAATCTAAGTGACTCGTATAACATGGAATTCATATAAAATGGAAAAATCAAAAGTGTTATAGGGGGTCGACTGTATTTGAAATTTTATAATTATTATCTGAATATATAATTAAATAAAAATCATCTTCTGATGCATTATTTCATCTAGACTTTAACGTCTGGTGGAAATTTGGCTTAAATAGGGTAGATGGCTGGGGTCTACTAGGAAAAAGTTTTAATGGGTTTATGGATTTGTGGACTATTTCACTAATACTTTATTTTAGGACTCTATAAGAAATTTGTAACTTTTAATGTACAGCACACATTAAGAACAGAAACTGTAATGTTAATTTGTTAAAGATAAATATAAAAAACTATATGAAACCTGGCCATTATGATTGCATCAGATTGTATTAGCGCAGAATCTTCCTTGGATGCACGTTATACCATATGTACACAATTTCCGAAGCCTTGGCACTTCTGAAGGTCCCGCTAAGCTAATCGGCTTACCGGGACCATCCGTACTTGTAAGCACGAGTTCATTTAATTTTGAATGCTTGCTTGGACTGCTTTGTTGAGGAAACTTGCCCCTAGATAAAACAGTGTTACGATGATAAATTTTGTAAACAAATAACACTTCTTTGCCAGGTGCTTTTTGTTAAATTTTAATTTTGACATCTTTGTGTATGGCAAAAGTACCATCTTTTTAAAAAAATTTGTTAACGTCTACATACCATGCAGTGGCACACTCAAGATTTAATCTTGGGGGAGTCGAGTTGAACGGATAAAAAACTGTTTAATGCGAATTCAATAAAATTCCCATCTTATGTGACTGCTAATTCATAAGTAATATGGAAATAAAACATAAACAATATAAATAACTATTTTGTTTCTAATTAAAATTAATTATTTTTATCATTAAAAATATTTTAAAATGTCATAAAGAAAATTTTGTAAGTTAATTTAGATAATTATTATTATTATTTATAAAAAAAATCAATAGTTTTTAAATTTATTAAAAGTATTTTAATATTTTTTCTCTCCAAGAAAGAAAATGGAAAAATCATATTACGCAGAAGATATGAACTGTTTACTGAGAAATAAAAAGATTGTATTATTTGGTGATACAAGTAAGAAAAAAAAATAAATAAAATTGCCATATTTTTTTATTTGCTAATTTTAAACTTATACATTTATATTAACAAATTATTAAAATTTTTTTTTAAAAAAACAAAAAACAAAATAATTATTTTTAAAATAAAAAATATATTCAATTGAAGTACAAAATATTTTATA